GGGAACTCCCTTCTTGTCAGTGCAGAGGCAGAAAAGGATCTTGGAGTCATTATTGATGCCAAAATGAACATGGGCCGACAGTGTGGGGACGTGGTCAGGAAGGCCAACCGCACCTTGTCGTGCATCCACAGATGCATCTCAAGCAGGTTCAAGGAGGTGATCCTCCCCTTCTATGCGACACTGGTCAGGCCGCAGCTGGAGTACTGCGTCCAGTTCTGGGCGCTGCACTTCAGGAGGGATGTGGACAGCATGGAGAGGGTCCAGAGGAGGGCCACCCACATGATCAGGGGTCAGCATGGAAGGCCCTACGAGGAGAGGCTAAAGGACCTGAACCTGTTCAGCCTCCAGAAGAGAAGGCTGAGGGGGGATCTAGTGGCCATTTATAAACTAGTCGGGGAGGACCAGTAGGCATTGGGGGAGTCCCTGTTCCCCCGAGCACTACCAGGAGTGACTAGAAATAACGGTCACAAGCTGGCAGAAGGTAGATTCAGGCTAGACATCAGGAGGTGCTACTTCCCAGTCAGGGCGGCTAGGATCCGGAACCAGCTTCCAAGAGAGGTGGTGCTGGCTCCTACCCTGGGGGTCTTTAAGAGGAGGCTGGATGAACAACTTGCCGGGGTCATTTGACCCCAGTACTCTTTCCTGCCATGGCAGGGGGTCGGACTTGATGATCTGCTCAGGTCCCTTCCAACCCTACCAGCTATGAAATTATGGTTTGTATGTTGGTAACAAATAGCATTATCAGACACTTGGTAAAAATATCAACTTATTATTATGAAAAATGACTACGTCTAAACAGAAAACTTGCTGTATCTTGAGCTGAACCCTATAAAAATACTGTATTTGACTACCAAGTAAGCACTCCTTTTTTCCTAGGTTTTGAAGGAAGCAACAAACCTGTTACTTGAATAATCAGTTATAGTACCAGACGTGATTTTGATTTGCCTATGTATCCAATAAATAACACATCCGTTAGTGGCTGGTACAGTGGGGCACACTGGATAAGCATGTCATCTGGATGCTTTTGAAAACAAGGCTTAACAAGGAAGTGACTAACTGTGGACCCAATATTCAAGGCTGCTGAGTACGTCCCATAAGGGTGCTGAGTGCCCTAGACAACAGAAGCAGACCCAACACTTGCTTTCAAATAGCTGATTAGGGATACCCACTACTCTCACACCCTGAAGAGTGGAGATACACCATGTTTCTTAATGGTGATATTTTAGCTTGTGCATATGCAGGCTTCTCAGCCTTTTGCAGGTTCAGATCAAGCATAATGGCAGGCGGGGAGGGCATCTGAACTTCCATGCCTGTGGACCTGAAACATGCAAGTAGGGTGCTGGCCTAGTTGAAAAGATACAACCCATGGATACATACATAGTTATTGAGATTTCCCCATTTGGAATTGGAATTGAATTGGCCATTGGATTTGGACTGAGATGGGAGTATAACCAAAATCTGCAGGACTTCAGGACAATAGTCTCATTGTACTTGATGTTATCACCTCCTCAGGGAAATCTCAGGCAGTAGTTTCCAAATTTCATGATGTAGATCACCTTTTTATCAGAGTTCAAAACTCCTGTGGGCGTGTCCTCTTTTAGCACCCCTATCCTTGGGAAATTTTAGGAGAGAAATAGGGAAGTGAGATGCAAATCAACTATTATCTGTTTCATGGGCAGTTTATTTCAAGCTGCTCCTGCTGCTTTTCGTTTCCTGCCTGAGTTATTTCCTCTCTCAGAATAAAGACTTCAGCATCACTAAAATGGGGTCTTCCTTTGTTGCTCACAGCCCTCTCCAGTGTCATCTCTCTGGAGCTCTTCACAATTTGCATCTGTCTTTCTGGCGGTATTTTTTAGCTTTCTGAGCTCAGTGTTACCTAAATTCTTGATGACAGCTGAAGTTACACCAAAGGAACAGCTGGAAAAGGAAAGGTGGAAGTAAGCACAGTGTACAGAGATATGTCAGTAGTTTTCTTTGTTAGGTTTTCTGGAAGCAACTGAACTAAGCAGTCCTGGGCTTGCCTCATGCTGTCAGGGAACCTCATGGCTCAAAGACTGTCATAGAGACTCTCCTTTGCAACAAAATCATCCACTGCATCATCCACTGCTTAGTGCAGGGGTGTCCAACCTTTTTGAATGTGGGGCCGGATCATGAACTTTTTATCACCCAGTGGGCCGGGGAGCCATATTCAAAGACCTCACAGGAAGTGCTATCACATCAGGAAGTGATGTCACGTGACCTTTGACACCAATGAAGTTGCAGGAAGTGACAATGAAATGGGTCTAAATAACCAATTCAAAACTCTCCCTCTATAGCATCCACCTCTGCCACTGTTCGGGACAGGATACTGAGCTAGAAGCATGGCACTTTTTATGCTCTTATGTTCAGAAGCTCTTATGTTCTTTGGCTGAGCTTCCAAACTATGGCTGAGATTTGCAAAATGGGGTAGATGGGCATGTTACAAAGTTGTCATAAAAGATTTGGAGCCCTCTAAATCCCATTCATTTTAATGGAAGTTGGCCTTTTCACTCAGCTTTGAAAATCTCAGCCCAAGGTGCCAACCAAATAAGTCAAAATATATTTTGCATTTCTATTCAGTGTATTTATGTGGGGCTTTCCAAGCATTTTACAAACATGAAATGAATCTCAGGATGGGCCCAACCAGAGCAGCAGGGGCTCAGCTGCACTTTCCCCCTACCTGCGCTGGTCAGTCCCGAACTGCACACGGCTCCTCCGCCACTTCTGCTGGCTTGTAAACAGTATATCTTCCTTGGAAAAGCATCCGTATTGATCTTGGAGCTGCTCTTCATTTACAGAGTGACACCTAGCATGTGTCTGTACTACTACACACTCCAAGAATAGTGTGACCACAGGGTGCTCGTGTATTTTCCCTAGAGTGATTGCTGAAAATTCCTGAGGCCATGTCTGTGCTGTGAAGCTTGCAGAATTTTTGCCAGTAGATGGCTGCCAGCATCGCTAAGCTTATAGCATTTGTCTGCTTTTGCCAACAATGTACATTCTCAGCTGGAGAGGTTATGAAACCAAAAGACATGGTATACCAAGGGTAGGCATCCCAGGGTCCCCTACACCAGTGTTTCTCAACTCGTGGGTCACAACCCAAAAGTGGGTCTCAAGAATATATGAAAGTGTCGTGAACAAATTTAAAAAATGGATCAACAAATTTGAAAAATGGATTTTCCTTTAAAGGAGAAAAACGTGGGAAACTGTGGCTTTTCCCTTGGAGGATGGCAGAGTTCAGCCTGCAAGGGGCTGCTTGGGGCACACGTCCCCTCTGCCCTACATACTCACCCCCTGCCCCCACACTGAGGGGTGGGCACTGGGTTGGGACTAGCCATCAATATTTACAAATGGGTGCCTGGTACAAAAAAGGTTGAGAACCACTGCTCAGACCAATGCCCTGCCATGTGAAACATTTTTTAAGTGGTACGGGGTACAAGCACTGTTTATGGCATTTATAGGAGCTCAGACTCAAGTTCCCACCGTTTCCTCTCTTCCATCCCATAGTTTTTAACCTTTTTTCAAAACTGCCATGAAACCTGATGCTGCTCTTTGCTCCTACTGCCATTTCACCATCCAAAATGCTGGTCCCATCCAAAGCAACAGAGTTCTTGTGTCCGTTCTAGAGACAGGGAGCATTTGAGGACATTCAGCCACTACCACAGCAGTCAGGGTGCTGTGATGAAGAGTAGGTGATCAACGAAGAGGAGTGAAGGATGTGGGGTAATCACAAGTCACTGCTGGTATTCACTGACTGGTTCCACATGGCAAAGCTGCACATCTGGGCTTTTTAAAAGAGCAATGTTGGGTAGGATGAACTCGTGATATAGACCCGGGATGAATGGCAATGGCTGCAGACCTTCCAGAAGTAGAAGGGTGTGTCAAGTTTTTCCCATTCCTCCAGCACAAACAGCAGAACAAGAGCCACTTTGTCAGTGGAAAAGTGGGTGGCAGTCATGCTCTGAGAAATTGCAACCCTAAATTGCAATCAGTCAGTGGACAGTTGGTTCAGTGTGGGAAAACCTGCAGTAGGGACGGTAGTCAGTCAGCTGGGTATGACCATTAAGCATGTCCATCTGCATAGGACTGTGACTTTGAAAGATGTGCAGGAAATAATAGATGTTCTGCTTGAGCTCTGGTGGGGCAACAGATGTGGGACATCTCAGTTTTGGCCCACTACACATTGCCTTTGCATACATAAAAAGGAAGGGGGGGGGGGGGGGTTGTGGTTAGGCAGCTACCAGTGGGCCACTGGGATTAATTTACTGACACTGAAATTGGATGATGAGAAAAGTGCAAGATGCTTCCATCTTTCCTAAAAGCTGTAAGCAGAGACAATTCCTGTTGATCACAGCACATGCGCACTGATAGGAAACCCTTTATCCCGAAATTAGGACAAAAGGGACATACTTTGTAGGAGGAGTCAGCATAAAGAGAGAGAGCATACCTTTTCAAGAGAATCACTTTACTGGAAAGCTAAACAGATGCTTCACTAGCATTTGGATCAGACAATGCAAAAACATACTGTTGCTCAGGAGGAGGATGTAGGCCAGATCTAGAATTTCTCAGCTCTTGTTGGTTGCTCAGTTCCACATTTCACAGCTCACCAGTTTCTCAGGTCCTCAACTGCTGGGTTCACAATCATGGATATACAATCATTAATGGCATCTTCTAGTTACACTTTGATTGGGTATATATTAATGAAAGGGGTTGATCATGAAGACCCTGCAGCCAAGTGAAGAATTTTATGATAAGGAATTTCACCCAGATGCCTAGAGGTGATTAGGTTATTAAGTCTTGTCTTCACCTTTATGGTTTTAAGAACTGTTTAGTCAATGGTCTTCAGAGTTTATCAGTTAGGTTTGGACCCTGGATAGGACTTATGGTAAATGGTTTTAATTGTACTGCTTGTGTTACTATGGTCAAGCATTTAGTAAGATGTAAATAGAGTGTTGTCATCAGCAGTCCCTCGATTCGAGGCTGATCTCTACCACAGCTCATTGTTGGGTCTTGAGGTGTCTTAAAGTGTCCAATCCCTGAGCCACAGACCCGTCTGCAGAAGCTGCAGGTTTTTCCACAGGTGAGGGTATGTCATACGCCAGGATTTCTCTCCTCTTCCTCGCCCTGCTCTCCTTTGCTTTGAGGCCAAGAGGTTTGAACTTGAGATGGGCTTCTGCTTGGTTGAGATTGCAGCAGCACTGGGGTCAGTTAGCAGCCAGCTCCTCCCAGCTCTTCATACCAGCACCCATATGCTTGAGGTATGCCTTCAATGAGTCCTTGTAGCATTTCCTCTGGCCACCACAAGATGTCAGGCCATTACTAAGCTGTGAGTAGAGCACTTGTTTTGGGAGTCAAGAGTCAGGCATCTTCACACAATGTCTGGTCCAGCAAAGTTGGTGCTTAAGGATCACCAATTCAATTCTGGTAACCTTGGCATCAGCAAGGGTTCTGGCATTTGCGCAGTCATATTTCCATTTGATGTGGAGGATTTTCTTGTGGCATTGTTGGTGATATCTCACCAGGCTCTTGAGATGACACTGGTAGGTCACCCATGTTTCACATCTGTAGAAGAGGATGGGAATAATGACTGCATTGTAGGCCTGGATCTTGGTGTCTTTCTGTAGTTAACAATGAATAAAGACACACCAAAGCAGTTTCCCAAAGGAGGTGCTTGGACACTGGGTCCTGTACTGGATCTCCTCATGAATGTTTATTCTGTGGGAGAAGTGGCTACTGAGGTTGGGGAAGTGCTTGACTACCTGCAGGGTCTTTCCCTCCATTGTCATTTGGGGAGGGGGGTCACAATCATGTCCCCTGCAGGGCAGGCTGATAGATTACTTTTGTTTTCTTGATGTTGAGAGAGCAGCCCAAAGTTCAGTAGGCATCTCCGAGAAGATCCAGCATGGTCTGGAGTTTTTCCTCATTGTCTGCAAGGATGACACAGTCATTTTTGTGGAAAGGAGGGCAGTACCTCCATACAAAGACTTATCTCCTTTCTTGAAGATAGTTACCATGTTGGCATTCCTCAGGTCCCTAGGGATCTCTTCATTCCTCCAAATTTGTAGAATAAATTTGTGATCTTAGTACCAGTTCCTTGCTACCAGGAACAGTCTTCTCTGAGAAATGGAACATTTCTCCTCTGAGAAGGCCTTCTGCCTTGGGATCCTACAAAACAACCTATTGTCCTGATTAAGTACTTGTGAAATATGTCAGATAAACTGTGGTCTTTCCTGCTTCATTCAAGTTAGTTGCAGGTCATTACATGGTCAGGCCTGTCAGACTGTGCACTCTCCCTGGCCACCTACTAGCAAAGGGGTACCAGTACAGCCTGGAAGGGCTATGTGTGGGTTTGTGCTGCTCCTCTTTGGTCCTGGGTTTTGACTTGGATCAATCAGAACCAGCTCAAATAACATGTCTGTGTACAGTCTATGTGTTTTCTTGTTTAACTCCATTTTAAAAAATGGAATCTGGCTTTGCAAGTCTGACCACAGACAGTGTCAACCCAGAATTTTTTATTAATTTTAGTTAATATATTTTCAACAATGCATGATTCCTTTCTTTATATAGTGGAGAATATATACAGGGTGGAGGCACTTACGTCAAAACCTTCAATGCATTCCTTACCCAATTTGCCATGTAAACTGTGATTCTGGGAGACCCAAACTTACTGTCATTCTGTAGGACATTCTCAGCCTTTCCTCTTGACACAGCTTCATTTTTCATGTAATGAATTTTCATAGCCCAAGAATGAGAATGATCCTCTAGCTGGATGATTAAAACACTCAGATGGGAAGCAGGACAGCCAGCGCTTCAGCAAGGGTCAGTGCTTCGATTATAGAAAGGAAGAGAGCCTCCTCTTTTGAGTGCACTGTGGGTTAGTAGTTAGAAAACTCAACTTGTAGCAGGACAAATTTCAAAGACTTGACCCAGCTAAGATAAATTTGTCTCTGGTTTGGATGGACAATGAGGGTTGAGTTAAATCAGGCTGATTAGCTGTCCTGCCATCCGGAACACTGTCGGTTGGGAGCCCGGCCTGAATTTCGTTGGTATAGAAAACACAAGGGCACAAGGCTAAGGGTACAAAATTACAAAGGAATTTATTAAGAACAACAGAATATGAAAATAAAAGGGGGAAAAGGATGGGAAACAACAGGAAATGCACACGACAACAGCAGCAATATTTTACTAAATATCAACTAGTAGCGAATGGCAATCAACTTGAAGAACTGGTTGGAATAACAGGTAGCCAAGGTTAAAACAGTAGCAAACCAACTACCAAAACCAGTCAATCAGTCCAAGAAAGTAAAAAAATCCAAATGGGTCGGGGGGGCAGGAAGGTCACCAGAAACTGGGCTACTCGGCAACACTGCTGTTCACCCTTCACAGGGAGTGATCTAGTATTAAACACGTCACAGGCTCATGGAACCAAACTCAGCCGGGCACACGCGGCTCTCTCTCAAATGCCAAACAACACACAGCACCACAAACACACAGCACTCGAACCACCACACTTGAACCCTTCAGGAGTACCAAACTTCGGGTTTTATTCACTCAAATCGCACCACTTTCCCTAACCAACCAATCCTCGGTCAGTCACTGTCACTTGCAGGTTTTCCAATCAATTCGTTCTCTCGCTCGATACATTCACCTGTCACTCAAGCCAGTTGTTCACCTTCACCTCGGGACCCCCACATTTCCCACCAGGTGTTCTGACTCATCTGCGCATGCTTGTGGTGTCTAATGAGGGCAGCAGGGCAGATGTTCCAGAGGTTTCTGCTGGAAATTGTAACTGCACGTGCTCAACTTCAACTGTGACGTCAGCTCGAACTATTGACAAGCTGGCACAAAAACTTCTATTGCTACAAACTAAGAATATCCACCTTCTGGTTTCATTCTGGAATAGGGCACTTCTCTTCAGAGACTGCCTTATTGAGCAGGACCCATCAGGATGGCCAAGCGGTCAAAGGCATTGTGTTTAAATTGTAGTCTCCCCTGAAAGTGTGGGTTCGCGTCCCATTCCTGACAGCCACTATTCCTTTCTGAGCTGCAGTAGAGTTTGTCAATCCCAGATAGGCCTCATCAGCCATCTTTGGACACAGAGATAAGACAGTCATGGAAGATGATCATCCCTGACTGCAAGGGATTGATGAAGATGATATTAAGTAGGCTTCCGACTCAGTCTCAAATGATCTCTCTCTGCTTCAGTGCATAGTCATGTATTTGATTCAAAGCAGCACGGTGTCAAAAGGAGAAGCTGAAAGCTGATGCCTGACATGCCAGTAGGATACTATCCTGGTAGGTGATGGTTCATGTCCCTTCAAGCAAAGGGGGGAACTGAGTCTCCCGAGGACAACTGACCTAATCCCTGAATTAAAGGGGAGTAGGAACAGCAGCACTCTTTACAAAAGTCTAAAACTATTTTTCAACTTTACAAATAGCATCAGGTCATCTGAAACCGCTTTTGTTGGCAAACAAACTTTGCTATCCGAAACATTCCCATTCCTAGTTCACAGCTGTGGGGCCAGAAGAGATTATCACAGAGGGGCCTGGAAAAGACTCATATCAAGAGTGAAGAAGCAAAGCCACCCTTCCTGGAAATGGTCAGGAAAGGAACAAACAGTGGAAGATTTTACTGAGAGCATTCCAGAGGATGAAAAAGAAGCTCACACATAGATAAACAGAAAACTTTTCAAGAACAGAAGTCACATCGCAGTGGCTAGCTCCACAAGCCAAAGCAAAGCAAACCACCCTGAGCTAACAACACTCTCTCTCCCATTTTCTTTTCCTTTTGTCCAAGCACAGCACAAGAGTGATTAGTTTTGGACTTGGGAGACTGGTCTTGAAAACCAAAGTACTTCTGTTTGCAGTATTTGCATTACATATTTGCAGATTTTTTTACCCTTGTAAATCAGGCCCTTTGGCTGGCCAGTCACATTATTTAAAATGCCATACGTACCTTATTTGTGTGCTCAGGAAATGCTTTTGGTGCATTTCTGATTCTGTTAGCAATTAAGTGTTTTTACAGCAGGCTAAAACTATTTTTTTTTTTTTTTTTTTGCTACTAAAATGTAGTGGCTACTACAAGATTCTAATATTCCCTTCTGTTATAGCCAGTGCATACTGTATTTTTAAAATAGTTGTTCTTTGTTCATGCCCAAACTGTCACCTTTATGAAAGGAGGAAGAAAGCTGAGGAAGGGGTTTTGGGCCCTGGGAAGGAAAAATAAATGGACCTGTACAGATTTTTATTTTAAAAGAACTTTATTTTTATAAAAGGTAAATTTAGGCCCAGATTTGAACTGAAAGGGAACAGTAAGAGTATTATCACCAGCCTTGGCACTGTGAGCAGGGGAAGGAGATGGTAACCCTAGAGATCTACTCTGCCTTGCTCAAGGGTGATGGATTTTGTGTTTTGAATTAAATGGTACGGTTGAGGGAAATCCATTTCCCAGATGTGCTAGGAGGATTAATTAATACCTGTTGTAGGTAGGTGCTGAGAGTCATGTTATCAAAAACATAGCTGCGTTTTTGTCTTTGGCATGCCAAGATGTACTCACTGATACAGTTCACATGTCAAGATGTACTTGGCATAAGTCTTTTGACTTCAGCATAGTTAATCCTCATTCTCATTAGTGTAAGTGTGAGCAGAATCAAACTCTTCATGTGACTAATTTAACAAAAGTAACAAGACCATTTTTTACATCAGGAGCTTTGTTCAGTGTCTGATGTGGTGACAAGGCTCCCCGTGTCATAGGGCTGGTCTTGCTATATATCTTCCTTCTTGCAAGGATACTAAGCTTTCTTATGTTATATGAATTCCTCCCGGATGTGGGGAGGAACAGATCTGAGGTGTATCAAGTACATGCATTTGCATCCTTATTGTTCCATACCTCCTGTGATTTGGAATCTCCTGCTTTTCCCCCTACCTAAAGGGTAGGAAAGTGAATGTGCTTGGCGAGGAATGTTGAACTGCAAGAAAACTTCCTGGTTGGATTCATGTCTGAAAATTTCCTGTCTTCATCTCTCCCACAGATGTTAGGCTGTAGCCCCCATTGAAAGTTCATGTTTCTAGTCTGGGTGACTGGTGAACCATCCAGAGAACGGGCATGGCCCGAAAATCCCCTCCCACCTGTTTTACTCAGAGTCTGCATATCCTCCCTGAATATATCTATACAGCTTCTCAGGGCACCCGAGAGCATTGTTGTCCAGAAGCACAACCCTGCTCTCCCACTCCTGCTCCACACATGCCAAACCCGGAACTGAATCTGTAAAGGTTGCTTGGAACTGAGTCCCTGAGGTTGCCTTCTGTCTCCTCTTGCCAACTCCTTGCTGCCCTCTGAAGGCAGAGATCTAAGGAGTGGAGGCAACTTGCCCTTTGCATTTCTAGGTTTGGTGCATGCAGAGAGTGAACAGGCAGATGTTGGTGAGCTTCTCTGCAGCATCAAGGAGCACCATGGAGGCACTGTGGACATGCCCCCAACCTTGCAGCCCTCAGAGCTTGTAGCCACCCCAAGGAAGTCTAGGAAGAGAGATGTGGCAGGGGGAAAGGGGGCTCTAGTTTAAATCTTTATCATATAAATACCAGTCGCAACAAAGGTGCAGCTCATACTGCCTCCTCATAATGTCTCCCATTTTCATTGCTATTTCTTTGTAGGGTATCATCCAAGCCTATAAGAGTGGTCTCACCCTCCAGGGCAACACCACCAGTCTGGGGAGATGGGACTTCGTTGGCTCTTTCTTCTTCTCCATCTCTGCAATAACCACCATTGGTAAGACTGCTCTGCTGCTTGCACTGGGTAACCTGGGTGGAACATGGACAGAATAAGGAGGAGCAGCCAAAGAAATATACAGTGCTCCCACCTTGCGAGACCTTTTCTTTCCCAGGCACTGCTTTCAAATAGAAGCAGACTATATGCAGATCCCCAGTCCCTTTGTCTGTCATGAGCTTCTGTCCATCTCACAAGGTCAGCTGCATGGAAGGGCCTGCTTATCTGTGTGGCAGAGATGCAAGTGATTTAGAAGCACAGGACTGGAAAGGAGGCCTTCTGAACTATCAGCTCTTTCAGGCAACTGTATAGCCCCCTCAAACACCAATCAGGTCTCATCTTCTGTGCCCCCACTATTCTTATGTGGTCCCATTTAATTCTGGCACATTAAAGAGTGGGTGATATGAACTTGATTTCTAAACCCCTTACCAAAAAGTGTGAATGAACTGAAGGGGGACAAAACAAAAAATAGGAGAAAGTAACAGAGTGGGCTTTGGGAAGGAGACATTAAAGAGCTACTTATGAAAATGTGGAAATAACCTTTAAACATTATTCTTAAATCTCCTACATTGTACCTCATACATATTCTGTTAGTGCTGCAAACTTCCATTCAATTCTAGGGCCCCACTGTGGTGTGTGCTGAACATATGCTTGGCATATGGAAATCCAAGTACTTTATTGAAGAGGAAAAAAGCAGCAGGGCTCTTCCAGGCATCAGCTGCTTGACCCTAAGGTTAGGGACAGACATTACACATAAACCAGTTTAAGTGATCAGAAACTGGTTTACACCTGTAACAGAACAGATGTTCAGTACACATAAGCTAGTTTGAAAATGACTGAAACCGGTTTGAGATAAACCTGGTTGAATTTAGTATCTGACTTAACTGATTTGGCTCAAACCAGTTTATGCAATGTCTGTCCTAGATCCTTTGCTGGTTTAAGCTAAATCAGACTCCATCAGTATCCCGGCATGATCTCTGGGCTGGGCAAGGCTCTCTGCCCCACAGCAGGGCTGGCCCCTCCCCTCTGTAGCTCCAGAGACTAGCAGGCTGCTCCTCTCCCTCCCCCCCATCCCTGCCCAGCAGAAATTCCCCCACCCCTCCCCTCTGCCTTGCTGAGAGCTCTGTTTATTAGCTAGCAGACCACATGTTGTGCTGAATCAACAGGTAGCTGGCAATGTGCTTCTATTGTTTTCTTAATGGGATGATAAACACGGTGTTACCAATTCCCTGCTGGGCTAATCGGAGCAGCCTGGCCACACTTCCCCTCACCAAAGTACCGTGGAAGGGAAGGGAGGGCTGCTCTATTGCCCCCTAGCTTCTAGCCTGAGCTACTGCAGGCATGTGCCTGTATTTCTGGGATGTCTGTCTAGTTACAAAACGGATTTAACCAAGCCATGTTAGACTAACCTGCAAAGATTGAATCAGTTCAGGCTTAGGCTTTTTGAATGTCTGTCTGAATGTATAAGTGCCTGTATACATGCTCTTAGCTTATGGTAAGTGAAAGCTAATCTGAAGTAATTTATCCTTCTTTCATTAATGTCTGAGCTACCACACTTAACACAGAATAAAAGTGTACTTTTATCCTAGAACAGCTGGCAGAAGATAGAGCAACACCCCTTTTTACACTGTGAAGAATTATTCTTATATCCATACCTTTAGTAAAAAAGAGCAAGTACCTGGAAGATTTTGCAGTTTAGTTAAAACATGATGCACTAAATAGATATTCACAGAAATGAAAGGAAAAGAGAGAGGATAGGAATGGGGAAAAGAACATGGGATTCATGCACTGGATGATAAATATAATATTAATAAATGACACGGAGCCTGTGTCTAGGCATTTGGATGTACGTCCTGTCCTTACTTTATGAGCTGGTTTTTCAGTAGCCATGAAATAGGATTTAAAATATCAAAGGAGTTACACAGAGGTCCATATTTTCAGTTTTACATTGAGTCTCTCATCCCTTTTTGGCTTTTGAGTCATTTTTAGACCCAGATCTATCAATGAGTCACACAGATGGGGCATTGTTGTGACTGTTCTGCTCATTACTGAAAATGCATTGACATCAGAAATGTTGAAGCTGTAAAACAAGGGCAATGACAGAATGCTTTTCTACATGTTATAAAGAGGACTCCCATGACTGACTAAAGTCTTCGTCTGAGCCCTGATGTCTTTATTTTCACTCATTTTGAATATGAGGCTGAAAACTCTTTTGAGTGTGTTGATTCCCGCACATACCACAAGAGGGCAGCATAGCATTGTTAGATTGAAGAATCAACACTGAGGCTAGAGATCTTTGGGTATTCTGACTGCTAGAGGCTTTGAGCAGTTACCTCAGTAGAACAGCTTTATCTGTCCCTCCTAACTGTTTTAGCCACATTGAGCTTATCCGCACAGAGCAAAACTAACTTGCCTTTTCTAGTTAGGTCTTTTTAGAAAGGTCAGCGGAGTCCTAAACTGAAACATTTTTAAGGTGTATTTAGTGGCAGTACTAGGGGTACAGCCATGCTAACACTTCCGTCGTCTATCATGACTGTTCCAAAGAACATTTGACGTGTAAGAGTGAGCTAGCCTGTTTTTTAAACAGAGATGCAAGTACATGCACTGTCCTTTCTCTTTGACTGTGCATTTCTATGTGTGCAATTTGCCTCTCCTTTGCTACGCACATAGGCACTTGCACTTTCCTTAAGGTCAGAGAGAGATCTGCTGATTAAAGCCACCCACCTAGGTGATGGGAGACCTCAGTTCAAGTCTCTGCTCCGCTACAGACTTCTTTTATTTGTGCTTCAATTCCCCATGTATGAAATGGAGGCAGTAGTACATTCCTGCCCTGCATGGATGTTTTAAAGAGAAATGCATTAAAGATTGTGAGGTGCTTGGGTACTGTGGCTACTTATACACTATGTCGGTACTTTCAATGGATAGAACAAGTCTGCATAACTCTTCTGTGAAAGTACTGGATGGTCCAGTGTTAAACAGAAACCATATCTATTCATGGATGCCAGCTTGTTATGACCTAAGAGTTAAAAAAAAAAAAAATATATATATATATATTAACCAAAACCCCATGACCTAAATTAATTTGAGCTGGTTCCTCTTAATCAGATAATGACTGTGACATTACATTCTTTCTGAAACAGAAATACCAGTGAGGAGAAAGCCTACTCTCATTTACAAAAAATAAAACAGGGAACAGATTTAGTTTTTAGGCTAACAGAAGCAGTGCCCCATTTGAATCACAGCTGGAGCCAGAGCCCTCCTATGGTGGGAGAGCTCCAGGGGAATATGAATGAATTAATGGGGTGTGTCCAGACAAGCGAAGATGTATGGTTTGAGGTGTATGTGCAACTGCTTGACATGATGTAAGTTTGCAGCATGGTGCCAAAATTTGGCACAAGAGACTCCCGGTATCAAAAAAACAAATGGCAAGAAAAAGCAGTGTGGCACAAGCTGCAGGACTGTGTCCTGGAGCAACTGGAGGCTGAGCCCTCCAAGGAGACTGGCTGCCGGCCAGAGTGTCTCCCCTCCTATGGGTTTGCCCTGGCTCCTCCAGTACACCAGAAGCTGTGAGAAGTGAGGAACAGGCAGTTTGCCCAAAGCAGAGCATTTTGCCCTGCACCACAGTGCATATGAAGGGGTATGCACAGTGGCAAAAAGAAGCGGCACAAATTTGTGCTGCTGCAAGTGCATGCCTCTGTATGGACACAGCCACGGTGTTCTGCTGACACTTCTAGCCTTGTTATTAATAGGAGGAAAGGATTATTTTAAAGTATTTGTGCGTGGTTTTTATCTCCTATTTCTGCTGTGATTCAGGCAGGAGCTTCCATGCCCAAGGATACAAAGGATTTTTTGTTTTAGAATGCTTCTCTTTCATTAGAAGGGCATTTAGATTGACCAAGTGCTACAATGATTCCGAGCCGCAGAAGTAGATACACAATTAGGAAGCAAGAAAGCAAGACAGGGTGTGAATCAGGATTCAGTAAGTTACCCAGTGCCTATTTAATGCCACTAAGTTCTGTATTTGGGGGCTTATTACCTATTTTTGTTGAGTATAATGTTATACTGGTATTGTTAATACTGTTAATACAGTACATTGTTAATACATTTAGTGTAGAAACAGTTATATTGATTATAAAGGTTCCTATTCTGGTGTAGCTCATTGCCTTTCCAACATGGGAATAGATGTGTTAGTATTAAGTACCTTTATAGTGATAGAGCTGCTTTTGTCCACACTGGAGGAATGTAGTGCTTCAAATGTACCAGCAATGTCCATGTGTAGAAAAGCCCTTGACCTGTGGCCTCCAAGACGGGCCAAATTATGGATGATTGTAGTGTCTATAATTAATATTCTGTGATGTTTGGGGACCTGATGTGGCAAATCTGAAATCATACACTAGCTCTCTTCCAGAGACAAGAGCAGTGTGCACATGCTCAAGATTTTATGGTAGTATAAGAGTAATATTGTAACTGTGATGGTTCAGAAATCATGCAAGAGACAAAGATTTCTAAGGGTCATATCTTTTTTATTGGACCAACTCAACTGTGTGGTTGGGATGAAGTTAGACAAGCTTTCAAATGCAAGACACACTTCCTCTTACATTCAAAAGCTTGTCTAACTTTATCCCAGCCATGCAGTTGTTTAAGTAAAAGATATCACTCTAAGAAATCCTTGTCTCACATGATTTTAAGTGACTCTTGTAATAGCTGGTGTTCTCTTGAAGTTCTGTCTGATGGAAATTGCTTAATATATAAACAGCTCAGCTTTCAGGTTTTTTCAAAAATACCTTTCCTGATTGTGCAGGAAAACTTAAAACTTGACTTTTAACATCAGACCCTAACAAGAAGACCGTAATTTATATCATTGTTTAAATCTTGTAATCTCTGAGATTATTTCACCATTTTTAAGGGCCTGGCTCATGAGGGTTGGATGTTTGTGGATGGCAAATGCTATAACAGCTATCCATATAAATGGCTTTGGGTGGGATTGGGCCAGGGGTGCACTT